AACCACGAAGGCATGTAACATGAGTTCAGAAGCCATACTCGTGGAGATCACATGGACAACCAAGATCACTAATCCACCTCTATCAAGGATTCATCTACTAGTTTTACATGGAGATAACTTTAAAGACATTATTAAGAAAGTGCAAGAAACATTTTACACTTAAGTATATTCTTGTGCAACAATGAGGTGAGATAGAAGTTTAGTTCAAAGGTTTCATTAAGTAATAAGAAGGTGGCCAGTTAGGATGAGTTTATAAAAGGAATGTCTATAAAGTAAAAGAATGACTTACTCCATCTTCCCTTCAATTTTTCATCAACTTTACTGAAAAATAATATTAGGATTAAAATATAATTATTAAGATGTTAGGGTTCAAATAATACACAATCTGAAAATAACAGGGTTTAAACGACAATTCAAAAAAAAAAGCATGAACAGGGGGAAAAGAAAAAAACAGTGCATGAAGTGAAAAGAAAGAAAACCCAGGTAACAGCAATATAGTAACAGTAACAGCCCACCCACATGGCTTTTGGGCAGCTCAAAAGCCCAGCCACTTAGAATTTAATTCCAAATATATCTAAATTAAAGCAACCAAAAACCCTCCTTCGTCCTATCGATCATCGTTTTCCTTGCCTCCAGGTAGTAATCATGATTACGCCCTAAAATCCTGTTTTTTCTTCCACTACCATGCCCGTCATAGTCCAAGCTCCCTTCTGCTGCTTTTGGCCCATTTCGAACCCCGCGATTAGAGCCATTCCTGCTAATTCCTTTTCCACAACCCCTCCTCGTCATTTCTTGAAAACCAACAATTTTCGTAGTCCCAATTTCACCCCTGCAAAGGGCCATCGTTTTTTCAACACTACTTCTGTAAGGGCAGCAGCTTCTGCTAGAGCTGATTATTATTCCACTTTGAATGTCAGTAGAAATGCCACTTTACAAGAAATCAAAAGTTCCTACAGAAAGCTGGCGCGCAAGGTTTCTTTATATATGTGTGTGTGTGTGTGTGGATTTCATTAATATTTGATTTTGATATGCATAGGTATTTTCTTGAAATTTACTCTATCTGTCTTTGGTTTGGTATGTATGTACAGTATCATCCAGACATGAACAAGGGAGCTGGAGCTGAAGACAAGTTTAAAGAAATAAGTGCTGCCTATGAGGTAGCTGACTAAACTTCACTATCGGTCCATGTATGCTTTGTGGGCCCCATCCTGTAGTAGCCTAACTAACATGCCATTTTCCAGTGTAGCATTGATTTGCCTCTCACCTCCATGGTGTTAATGAAGAATTTATGTAGGTCCTATCAGATGATGAGAAAAGATCTTTATATGATCGCTTTGGTGAGGCAGGTTTGCAAGGAGAATTTGATGGCTCTGGCAGTGGTTCGCAAGGGGTAAGATTATGGGATCAACTTTATGCATTTCTGCAAATTCTTGCTTGTCATACTAACGTGACTTGAAAAGCAATGTTTTAATTGACTTTAACACTCGGGGATTGCATGCAAGTGTGCTGGACCTTGACTAGCTAATTACTTGTTTGTAATCTTGTTGGTTTCATCGTTTTCAGGTGGATCCTTTTGAAATATACAACACCTTCTTTGGTGGTTCAGATGGGTTTTTTGGTGGAAGGGGTGAAGATGGCGGGCTTAACTTCAATTTCAGAAATATGGGAAACCAGGATCTTGACATTCGGTATTGATCCTTCATTTTTCACCATTTGCTATTTAATGCGCCAAAACTGTAGCTTTTATCCTTGTTACTTGGATGCGTTTGTGTATAGAAAATGGACATTAGACATGAGTGAAGTTTATGATTCACCATCTTGTTAATGAACTTTGAGTTCTCAAAATATCTGTAATCCATGAAAAGATTACCCAGAGTGTGAAGAAATTTTAACTAATATGTCTTTGAGCTTATTGAGCTTCAGGATAGCTGGATAGGAGAGGGCGTTGTTTTTTGCTGTGTGATTGTGACCTTTGATTTAGATGCTGATGTATCAAATTATGGTTAGAAATGCCAAGACTAGAAATGTAGCAAAGATGCTTTGCAAACTGGAAAGAAAGTCTGGAAGGTGTAAAGGCAGAGCAATGTAGATTTATCTTATGTAACCTATGTATGGGGTGAACAATTGGAGAATCTGTGAGTGTAGAACCCCATTCTACAGGCTTAAAGATGGTTTTATTATCATTATTTGGCTGGATGCATTTATCAGCATGCCCATCTCTCTGACTTTTGCTAGGTGCTAAGCTTTGTGCACAGGTGCTGATTTCCTTTTCCCCACTCTAATTCTTAAATTTTCTTTCAACTGAGGCTTGGCTATCCTGGAACTTCTTTTGCACACCCCCTCATGTACTTTTATGGTGCCCCTTGAACCTATAACATATTACTTAAAGGAAAAGGGAGATTTAGTTCAAGTCTATATACCATATGCCAATGAGCAGAGGAAAACTACGTAGAGTAAACAACTTAAGAGACCATGTTGAAGGATCATACCCTAGGTACTTTATGATGATACATTTTGAGAAACCCTTTTGCATATTCATGAACTTACCCATTATTTTGACTTGGTTTGCAAGTGTTCTCTCTTTCCCTCATTCCCACCCTTGTTTCTGGCTAGAAATAATTTTTTTTATGATTTGTAATGTCTTATATTGAAGGTATGATCTGTATTTGAGCTTGGAAGAATCAGTTTTTGGTGGACAGCGAGAAATTGAAGTTTCTTTTTTTGAGACATGTGATAGCTGCAATAAAATAAAAATAATTGTTAGAAATAGAGTTCAAAAATGCATACAATTATGTTCTATTTAATTGTGATGAGCTGCGACTTTTTATCCAGTAAGTATATATATGTGTAATATTAATTAAACTTTGTCAATAATATACTATTAATTATATATTATAATATCATACACTTATTATCACTTGTAGGCAACATCGATAATATTTGTTATCCAATAACTCGAAGCTGACCGAATCCCAGATCTTTCAATTATAAAATGAACAATTTACCATGTGGTTTAGAAAACATGTAATTACTATCACAAACTCATTCTCACTTGCAAAATGACTGTATGCATGTCATTACGAGATTCTTGTTTATTGTTCATTGATGTACATTACATACAAGGTTTATAAAATGGGAAAGAGTGTTGCTAAGTCATTGTCTTCACTAAGTCTAGGCCCTGAAAGAAAAGTTAAGTGCTACAATGGATATTTTATCAATGGATATTTGTTCCATATTGAAGAATACAGGTATGGAAGAAAGATATACAACAATAGTGTTTGTTTTAAAGGATCAACTAGTAGTGAGTTAGAAGTTGACTACTATGATAGATTAGAAAAGGTTGTCGAATTGCAATATTATAGCGAGCAAAATAGAGTGTTTTTATTTAAAAGCTATTGGTATGACATGACTGATAGAGGAATCAGAGTTGATTTGTACTATGGTTTGGTCAAAATCAACTCAAAAGCTAGATTCCGCAACATAAATGATGTTTTTGTTTCCACAAAGCAATGTCAACAAGTTTATTACACATACACCCCTTCCTTTAGAAAGGATCGATTAAGAGTGGATTGGTTGTTCGTTTTAAAAACAATACCCAAAAGTCATGTCGAGCTTGTTCAGGATGACAACAAAGACACAAGTGTGCGAGATGAAGTCTTTCAAGTTAATGAATTGGTTGAATCATATTGAGTTGCTCCTTCGATCGACTTGGAAAAAAATTCAAATTTTCATGTTTTTTATGATAGTCTTGTTGATGTTGACATAGAGAAATTGAATGTTGTTTTGAGATTTAACGGACGAGTAAATGTCGATGAAGATAATAATATCCATATTGAAGATTGCAATGAAGGTGATGACTATTCAATTAACGACAAAGAAGAAGAAAATTCTGACTAACTATTAGAATGAAGCCATGTGTAACACATTTTTTTCGTGTAATATATAATATGGATGATATATTTTGTAACACGAAATATTTATTTTATAAGTTTATGTATTGTTTAAGCACTGTTGTTATTATTTTGCGCAATGGACAATTAATCATTTAAGTGTTCATAGGAAGGTAACTGGGCAATACAAATATAATCTTTCTTGTATAATGCACTATCACCGATGTCTATACCGGCGGACTAAGGTCCATTGGTATTTCACAGAGAGTTGAAAAATAATTACTATAAAAAAATTTATGTTTCAAAATCTAATTTCTCGCTATGAAAGTAGGTTGCATAATTTTTTGTATGAAACATAAAAAAAGGTAAAAAAAACCACGAGAGATAAGGGTCTCCAGTGTTAGAAAGACGTCGTGGTTTGGAGGGATTTCAAACTGATATACATCTTGACAGATATATGGCCACACTATTTTGAGCACGTGGCATTTGAGCAGTTCAGATGACACTCATAATCCTGTACTAGCAACCGAAATTGATCAATTCATGGCTCAGTGACAACACATACCGGCGGCTCCGTTCCGTTTGTTGCACATGCAAAATAGATAGTAAGATTAATTTAAATAAAATATATCGTTAAATTAATTTTTTGTTAATTAATTTTTTTCATTATAGGTTACGTTTCTTGGATGTGAGCTGAGCCCAATGGAGCTATTTGTTGAGACGCACGTGAAGATTCAAGACTGCTAAAAAAGGGTGCAACAGTTCGTTGACAACCGTGCTCAACACTTTGTGGTATGTTTATTCAACCATTTTATTTTGTAAGTTATTATTTTTAATGAATTGAATATGGTGATTACCTTTTTCATTTTCAGGAGACTTCTAATAGTCGATTGAGACATAGATATGGGGACAATATTTCGATCCATCCGAATTTTGATCCAGAATTGTGGATGGAGGTTGAATCATCAGGTGAACCCGATAAAAATCAGGTGTACGGGCTCTCCAACACTATGGTTGAGAACTTATGGGTGGCCTATAGTGTCTCAACCATTGGTAGCTCCCAATCGATATCGAGCACTCAATCTAAGGAGTTCATGGCCTTGTAACAACACACGGCTCAACTTACTGAAAAACACGATCACCTATCGGCGAAGTATATATAACTCAAAGCGGATCATGAACAGTTTCACCAAATGGTCATGAACATGGCATCACAAAGTAGTGATACATGTGTGCCTCCTCCTTTTTGGCCGCATAACAACCAGCTTTCTCCTCCTCTAGCTCCACCATTATGTTAAGTTGTAATGAATATTAGTTAACTTTAATAGTTAAAAAAAATATTTATTTGAAACATATTCAATTTGTAATGAATATTATTTAACTTTATTTTTTTTATTTTTGATGTTTAATAAAAATTTCATTTGCATAATTGTTTTTTTACTATTAATTTATAGAATATTATATATACTAAATAATTTTTTAAAAACATATTTAAAAATAATCCCAAAAGGTTTTACCGATGGATTGCATCTGTTGACATTTGTTAATCATACCAATAAATTTATAGACAGAATTAGTTTGTTGGCATTGCATAGTAGCTGCCACAATCACCAATGAATATATAGGCAGATATAATCGGTTGCTATTTCACACACTCACCGATAACGTTACTAATGGCTTATTCCTTTGGTATTTCACATGATCACTAATGGAATACATCCGTTAGTATATTTCAAGCGGGAAACTTTTTTTTTCCTTGTAATTTCTGTCTGTACAATCATCGGTAAATATTTTTTTTATCGATTGATTTAGCTACCGAATGAGGTATTGCCAATGAAAGGAAAGCCAATGGACGTTTTCTATTAGGGATGTCGTCAGTAAAAAATTACTGACAAACACTGAATCACAGATCGACGGAATATTTTCGTCGATAAAACTGTTAAATCTTGTAGTGTTCTGCAATTATTTTAGTATTTGTATTCCCTTCAGCTTTTGTAATTTGGTATTTAGGTTCAATTTGTGCAAATTTATTTTATGTTTGGGAGTAATCGTATAACTTCAAGAAGATATTTGTTTAGTTTCTGCAATTTTTGTTTAGTTTTTGCAATTTAGTATTTTGTTTTCCATTGCTTTTGCATTTTGGTTATCTGTGATTTTTTATTATGGCTATTGAAAGAGATGATTCGCTTAAGTCTGTGAGTGTAAGGGTGGATGAGCAGAATTATTTGTATTAGAGCTATATAATAAGAAATTTTCTTAATGGTAAAAAGTGTGGGGATATGTCAGTGGAATTTATGTGGTACCTAAGAATACTAAATAAGGGGATGCTTATTCGATAGATGCATGAGAAACAAACAATGCAAAAATTATTATGTGGATTAAAAATTTCATTGAGCATTTTATAGGTATGCAGTTGGCGAAGTATGAGACAACAAAGGAGGTTTGAGATCATCTGAAATGGTTATTCACGCAATCAAATTTTGCAAAACAGTATCAATTAAAAAATGATATATAAGCTCTTTTTTTAGAAGAATATGAGTATTCAAGAGGTTTATTCTGCTATAGCAAATCTTTGGGATTAATTGGTTCTTACATAATTGACAGAATTAAAGGCATATGGTACCTATATTGAGCGTAAAGAGCAACAATGATTGGTATAGTTTTTAATAGCATTTCGTAGTGATTTTGAAGGATTTAGAGGTTCATTTCTGCATTGTTCTCCATTGTTTTCTATTTCAATGAGTTATTGGCTGAAGAAACACGTCTCCAGTCTTATTCTAAAAAGAGAATTCTTTTTACTTCAAGCATTCTATACTAATAGTACCCTCTAAGTCATTCTTTAATCATCAGAATAAGCCTTACACAAGAGTTGGCTTTGATGAGTGTAGTTTTGTAAGTAAAAAGTCATTAGAAGGCTTAGTATCACAAGTTAAGACAACAGAATTAAGCTTGTAAGCATGGTAACCAGTCATAATCTAATGCTCATTGACCAATTTAAAGTTATAAACCACCACATCACAATACTACAACAATAGCTTCATCAAGCTCTATCACCGATCCTAGTACTCTAGCTGAGCAATTTCACAAGTTTCTCTTCTTATAACCATAAACAATGTCTATTTCTTCTTTTTTCATATGTCAGTTGCCTCATAACTTCTCAAGTATGTCACATTTTGAATAGGTCTTGGATTCTAGTACTTCCCATCATATGTCTCCAGATTCTTCATCTTTTACCTTTGTGTTGCCTTTGTCCTCCATTCCTATTATGACTGCTGATGGCACTTCCATGTCCTTAGCAAGTGTTGATTCTATTGTCACACCTCACTTGTCTTTTCCTAATATTTATCTTATTATGAAACTCAAATTGATTCTTACTTTTGTTGGTCGAATACATGATTTTGATGATTATTTAATCATGTTTTCTAGTTCTTTTTGTTGTATACAGGATTTTATAGTCTTAGAAGATGATCGGGATAGGTCATAAGGAGAATGGACTATATATTTTGGATGAGTTAAAAGTACTTGTTGTCGTTGCTACTATTGCTGCTGCTACTATTGTTGATTTGTCTTCCTTTCATTTAAGTCCTTTATCTTTTAATTTTTATTTATGGCATTCTCATTTAGCTTATGTTTCATCTTCTTATTTAATATTTTTGGCATCCACAAGAGCTTTAGAAAATTTAAAAATTTATGATATTTCTGATTGTAGTGGATGTAAACTGAAAAAATTTTCCATTTTACCTTTTAATCGAAGAATTTTTGTTTCTTCTTCACCTTTTGATGTGATTTATTTTGATGTATGGGGACCTTTTTCAATTGCTATAAAAAAAGGGACTCGATATTATGATTCATTTATAGATGATTATACTCGTTATTGTTGGGTTTATTTAATGAAATATCGTTATGAATTCTATGAAATACATACAACCTTTCGAGCTCTTGTGAAAACTTAATATTTTATTGTAATCAAATATTTTAGGTGTGATTTAAGTGAGGAATACACTTCTAATAAATTTTATCAGTTACTTGCCTTAGATGAAACCATTCATCAAACTTCATGTACAGATACTCCTAAACAAAATGGTGTTGCTGAAAGGAAACATAGGTAAATTATAGAAATTGTTTGTTCTCTCTTGTTGTCTACTTTTGTTCCTAGTGAGTTTTGGGGAGAAGTTGTCCTTACTATTGTAAGTTTGATTAATACAATTTCATCTTCTCATAATTCAAGTTTTTCTCTTTTTGAAAAATTATATGGGTATGTTCCTGATCCTCTTTTAGAGTGTTTGGTTGTACTTGTTTTGTTTTTCGTGCCGATATAAAACACAATAAGTTATCCTCTCGATCTGCTATTTGTGTATTTCTAGGTTATGGTGAAGGTAAAAAAGGGTATCATTGTTTTGATCCAATAACTCAGAAACTTTATGCGTCTCGCTATATTATCTTTCTCAAGTATATACCGTTCTTTTCTATTCCATCTACTACTCATGGCTTGACTAAACATGATATTATTCATATAGACCTATTTTTTTAGTATTATGATAGTTTATCATCTCACGTTCCCAGTACCTTAGATACCACTTTCTATGTTCGACCAATTTGTACTCATCATTCTGCTGGTACTGACACTTTACTTTCTAGCACACTTAAAGCTTCATTCTCATCTAGAACCCTTTAAACTTCTTCTGAGATTGTGAATCCACCTTTATGTCAATCCATACGCATTCATAAGTTACAAAACTACTAGATTTTGATTATTTTTGTTATTCTTCATCTTTTACTTCTTTTTTAGCTTTTATTCATTGTCTCTCTAAGCCTTCTTCCTATAAAGAGGAATTTTTTATCCTCTTTGATAGCAAGCTATGGATGAGAAACCTTTTGCTTTGTGTAAGACAGATACTTGGGATTTGATTCCTCTATCTTCTAGTAAGAGTGTCATTGGTTGTTGTTGGGTGTATAAGATGAAGACTAATTCTGATAGGTTTATTGAGCGATACAAAGCTAGGTTAGTTGCAAAAGTATACTCTTAATAATATGGTATGGATTGTGAGGAGACATTTACCCTTTTTGTAAAAATAACTACTATTCATACTTTTATTGTTGTAACTTCAATTTGTTAATGGCATATCTTACAACTTGATGTTAAAAATGCCTTCTTGAATGGAGATCTTCAAGAAGAAGTTTATATGACGCCTCTTCCTAGTGTTTCACATAACTCTGGGTAATAGTTATTTTTGAGACCATATAACGTATTATTGAGCTTATATACTTTTATTGTTGTATATAAGCTCAAGAATGCATTGTATGGTCTCAAATAAGCATCTCATGTTTGGTTTGAGAAATTTTCTGTTGTGATCTTATCTCTTAGATTTGTTCCTAGTAATCATGACTCTACTCTTTTTATTAAGTACACGGATGTAGACCGTATCATTTTATTTTATATATTGATGACATGATTATCACTAGTGATGATATTGATGGTATTTCAGTTTTGAAGACAGAGTTGGCTAGACGATTTGAAATGAAGGATTTGGGTTCTCTTCGATATTTTAAGGGTATTGAGGTAGCTTACTCACCTAGAGGTTACCTTCTTTCTCAGTTAAAATATGTTGCAAATATTCTTGAACTAGCTATACTTATTGATTATAAGACTGTAAACACTCCCATTGAAGTTAATGCAAGGTATTCTTCTTTTGATGATTTACCTTTGACAAATCTTACTTTATATCGTATTATTGTTAGAAGTTTGGTATCCCTCATCATTACTCGTCCAGATACTGCATATATTGTTTATGTTGTTAGTCAGTTTGTTGATTCTCTTACTATTGTTCACTAGGCAGTTGTTCTTTTTATTTTGCGATATCTTCAGGGTATAATTTTTCAGAGTCTTTTACTTTCGTCCACCTTTTTCTTGGAGTTGCATTCTTACTCTGATATTGATCATGATAGAGATCCCATAGATTGTAAATCAATTATTGTTTTTTGTATCTTTTTAGGTGATTCTTTTATTTCTTGACAGAGCAAGAAACAATCTATTGTTTTTTAATCCTCAACTGAAATAGAATATCATGCTATGAATTTTACTACTAAAAAGATTATTTGGTTACATTGGTTACTTATGGATATGAGAGTTTTATTCTCTCATGAGATTGATTGTCATCTTACTCATCATCATCCCAAGCATGCCACAATTACTTTGCCCTTTGTTTCTTTTTCCTTGTATATTGCAGATTTCTTTATCAAGTCGCATTTCATTTCTCGTTTTTGTTTTCTTAGATTTCTTTATCAAGTCACATTTCATTTCTCATTTTTGTTTTCTAGTTAGCAAACTCTCAATGCTTGTAGTTGATGCATCATGAGTTTAAGGGGAGATGTTAAATAATACATTCATCTTGTTTTATTTATTAATGGTAGAATAATAATTTTAGCTTAATATATATATATATATATATAAGCTCTTTGAATTAGATTAAATGATGTACTTTTCATAAATAAACAAAGGATAATTCTAGCCTCGTTCTCTTTCTTGTTCATATTTTCTCTATGTTAATTGAATTATTTTAACATAATACATTAGAGTATCTAAAACGACAAATGCTAAATAAAAGAGTTAAATAGATAGTATGATATTTTAAATAGTGTAAATATAGGTTTTTTTTATGTAAATATAGTTTTTTCATGTACTCCAATGATTAATGCTATTTTAACAGTTCATTTATATTGTAAGATTTTTTATACACGCCTACTTTACTTGTAAATTAATGTAATTAATTTTTATACAATATAATCATATATTTTCTTACATAGCTTCTATTTTCAAAGAGAAAGAAAAGGCAAGTGTAGATAATTTTGTATTATAATTTGCATGTTTGTATTATGATTTGAAAATTTAGAGATAATTTTTTTATATAGTTTAGATTTTATAAATTAGTTTTTTTACATAAATTTTGTATATTTCACATTGATGGCTTGATGAAATTAAAGATTATGTTTTAGTTTGTTGATTATTATACGATATTAGTTCCATTTTTTTAATTTAAGTTGTTAGCTTTGGAATTCAATATATGTTTTGGTTTTTATTAATATTTTAGGAAATTATTTTAAAAAGAATAAATTTACTATTGCTATTATATTACTAATGATAATAATACATATGGTTTTGCCTCTAACTATTATCATCCATCGTTATCGTTAGTAATAAGTGACAACCGATCACTAACTGATTGATAATTATCTTTATTTATTAAACTTTAACTTTAATAAAAATCTTAGATTATAATTATAATTATCAATAACTTTCTATACAATATAAGTAAAATATCGATTTCTATACAATATAAGTAAAATATCGATTACCTTTGTCTATTAATCTTTAACTTTTTTCCAATTATATTTAGATAATTAGTATAGTTAGTTACAAGGATGGGAAGAATAGTTAGAAGTTAGTTAAATGAAGTGAGTAGAGTGTTTGTGTGTGTGTGTGTGTGTATAACTAGTGAATGGAAGAAAGTGCTTCTTCAAGTAATAACAAAAATAGTTTCATTTGGTATATTTTTCTCTGTCAATTCTTCTCCTTCCTTCCTATTTTTTCTTCTTCTTCTCCTATCTCATTTCTATTCTTCTTTCTATTATACTTTATGTCCTTTTTAAAGTTCCTTTGTTGTTAAAAAAAGATCTTAATAATTGATATTAGAGTCAACCCAAGACCCTAATCAATTTCTTTTGGTTCAAAATAATGAAGAACAATAAGATGAAGATTGTAGAAGGACATTGTAGAAAGCTTGATGAGCAATTACAAGATATTCATCAAGAACTTCAAGAATCAATAGCTAATCAACAATATAAATGGTGAGAACAATGGATAAAGCAAGATAAGAGAACCAGTTAGGTTGGCCTACAAATCAAAGCACTAACAAATTAATTTCAATTTTTTTTAGCTAATTACACGATAGGTAAGGAAATTAGAGCTAATCTCAAGATTGCACTCATAACAATCACGAAGGCATGTTACATGAGTTCAGAAGCCATACTCGTGGAGATCACATGGACAACCAAGATTGCTAATCCACCTCTACCAAGGATTCATCTGCTAGTTTTATGTGGAGATAACCTTAAAGATATTATTAAGAAAGTGCAAGAAACATTTTACACTTAAGTAGGTTCTTGTACAACAATGGAGTGAGGTAGAAGTTTGGTTCAAAGGTTTCATTAAGTAATAAGAAGGTGGCCAGTTAGGATGAGTTTATAAAAGGAATGTCTATAAAGTAAAAGAATGACTTACTCCATCTTCCCTTCAATTTTTCATCAACTTTTGTTATCGTTATTAATAAGTGACAACCGATTACTAATTAATCGATAATCATCTTTATTTATTAAACTTTAATTTTAATAAAAATCTTAGATTATAATTATAATTATCAATAACTTTCTATACAATATATGTAAAATATCAATTACCTTTGTTTATTAAACTTTAACTTTTTTCCAATTGTATTTAGGTAATTAGTAGAGTTAGTTACAAGGGTGGGAAGAGTAGTTAGAAGTTAGTTAAATAAAGTGAGTAGTGTGTGTATATATTTATATTTATATTTATATAACTAGTGAAAGGAAGAAAGTGCTTCTTCAAGTAATAACAAAAATAGTCTCATTTGGTATATTTTTTCTCTCTCATTTCTTCTCTTTCCTTCCTATTTCTTCTTCTTCTTCTATCTCATTTCTTTTATTCTTTCTATTATACTTTATGTCCTTTTTAAAGTTCCTTTGTTGTTAAAAAAAGATCTTAATAATTGATATTAGAGTCAACCCAGACCCTAATCGATTCCTTTTGGTTCAAAATAATGGAAAACAATAAGATGAAGATTGTAGAAAGCTTGATGAGCAATTACAAGATATTCATCAAGAACTTCAAGAATCAATAGCTAATCAACAATATAAATGGTGAGAACAATGGATAAAGCAAGATAAGAGAACCAGTTAGGTTGGTCTACAAATCAAAGCACTAACAAATCAATTTCAGTTTTTTTTAGCTAATTACACGATAGGTAAGGAAATTAGAGGTAACTCTAAAGAAATCTTGAATACTCCATTAATAGAAAAGAAAGTGAGCACTCATAGCAATTATGAAGACATGTTACATGAGTTTAGAAGCCATACTCATACCCGTGGAGATCACATGGACAACCAAGATCACTAATCCACCTCTATCAAGGATTCATCTACTAGTTTTACATGGAGATAACTTTAAAGACATTATTAAGAAAGTGCAAGAAACATTTTACACTTAAGTATATTCTTGTGCAACAATGAGGTGAGATAGAAGTTTAGTTCAAAGGTTTCATTAAGTAATAAAAAGGTGACCAGTTAGGATGAGTTTATAAAAAGAATACCTATAAAGTAAGAGAATGACTTACCCCATCTTCCCTTCAATTTTTCATCAACTTTACTGAAAAATAATATTAGGATTAAAATATAATTATTAAGATGTTAGGGTTCAAATAATACACAATCTGAAAATAACAGGGTTTAAACGACAACTCAAAAAAAAAAGCATGAACAGGGGGAAAAGAAAAAAACAGTGCATGAAGTGAAAAGAAAGAAAACCCAGGTAACAGCAATATAGTAACAGTAACAGCCCACCCACATGGCTTTTGGGCAGCTCAAAAGCCCAGCCACTTAGAATTTAATTCCAAATATATCTAAATTAAAGCAACCAAAAACCCTTCTTCGTCCTATCGATCATCGTTTTCCTTGCCTCCAGGTAGTAATCATGATTACGCCCTAAAATCCTGTTTTGTCTACCACTACCATGCCCGTCATAGTCCAAGCTCCCTTCTGCTGCTTTTGGCCCATTTCGAACCCCGCGATTAGAGCCATTCCTGCTACTTCGTTTTCC